TGTAAATCCTGTGTTCCTCTCATTTCCTTAAGAAGATCTGCCGGGGAGGAGGGAGGGGACGATCTGGGGTGTATTCCCCCTGGGTGTTCCGACTGGGGGGGGTATGAGGGGGGGGTGTAACCTCTGTGTCCATCCTGTCTCTTCTATCCCCGGGTTTCTAGGCCGTTGAGTGATGTCCCATTGCTCCCTGATGCCAGATCGTCCGAGTCCTTCCTCTCCCTCTTCCCTTCCTTGCTTCATTTTTTAAACTAGCCATAACACGTGTAGGACTGTACGCCATTGGGGAAGGATCAATTGTAGATGAGGATGGTGTGGGGGTAGATCAACGACCTGGGTGATCGGGATTTGGAACAGGGATGTGACCGGGGCGTGGACGAGTTGATTGGTCCCCAGAGAAGGGACAAGACCGGGGGAGAACAAGGGCGGTCGGGAACTAGGTCAAGGGCAGGAGACGGGTTGAGGGGGGAAATCGTGATGAGGTGTAAGGGATGGCGAATGGGGGAGGGAGATGAGGGGGACGGGATGAGGGTCGGGATGGATGCGAACGGGATAATACCCCGGGGCGGGGTCGGGATCGGGGAGGCGAATGGGATAATACCTCGAGGCAGGGTCGGGATCGGGGCGAGCAGGGATCAGGGATCGGGGCGAAAATCCGGGTAGTGGGAGGCTTAGGGTCGGGGCAGGGTCAAGCGACGGGGGTGATCTAGATGGGGTCGGAGGAGGCGAACGAGGCGAGCAGGGATCAGCGAACGGGGTATTACCCTGGAGCGGGGTCGGGATCAAGACAAGCAAGGATCCGAGCACTGGAAGGATCGGGATCGAGGTGGGGGTTTGAGAGGGATGAAGATGGAGGTAGGATCGGGATGAGAGCGAACGCGATAATACCCCGGAGCACGGGGTCGGGAACGGGGCGGGTGGCGGTTTGGGGAGTGAGGAGGTCGGGTTCGAGATGAACTTGAAGGTGGGGAGGTGAGCGGAGCACGGGGGTTGGGATTGGGGCGAGAAGGGATCGAAGGGTTAAGGCGAGGATCCAGGTAGTCGGAGACGGGACGGGATGGAGGCGAACGGGATGTGGGGTCGGGATCGGGGCGGATGGCGATTTTTTGGGGGAG